TGGTAATGCTTGGATCACAGGAACAAGTGGGTCGTGGAGGGAACGGTAATGATGCGAATTACAGATGATTTGAATGACTGGTATGGGAATGAAAAACGAAATTTCTACATACGAAGAGGATTTTACAAGGCACAATTACACACCTTCTCCTAGAAAATACCGTCGACAGTCGACTAAAGTGACGTTGACACTAAATTCACAAACAGTGAACTATTTAACGAAGATTTGTGTGTGACTAGTTTAATGCACAAGATTGTGTTCATGATTTATTTAATGAAGATTGTGTGTGATATAATTTAATGAAGATTAGTGTGCTGATTATTTAATGAACGCACATTTGTGTGTGAAAAATTACTTGAAGATGTTGGGATGTGATTATTTAATGACAGATTGTGTGTGAATATTTAACGAAGATTGTGTCTGAGATTATTTAATGACTAGATTGTGGTATAATTATAATAGAAGATTGTGTGTGCATTGCGAGAGAGCGCGCGAGGAAGATCTGGTGTGGATATTTAATGAAGATTGTGTGTGATACTTAAATTGAAGATTGTGCTATTGATTATTTAAGATGAATTGTAGTGTGATAATTAATGAAGATTGTCGTGTGATTATTCTAATAAGACTTGTGTGTGATTATTTAATGAAGATTGTGTTGGGGGATTAGTTAATGAAGATGTGTGTGATTATTTAATGAAGATTGTGTGTGATTCATTTCACATAGAAGATCTGGCGTGATTATGATAACTCAGAGTGTGTTGATTATTTCAATGAAGTATATTCGTGTGTAGATTAATTTCATGAATATTGCGTGATGTGATTATTTAATGAAGTACATTGTGTGTGTCATTTAATGAAGACTTGTGTCAGTGATGTATTTACAATGAAGAATGTCTGTAGTGATTATTTAATGAAGATTGTGTGTGATTATTTTAACGAAGATGTTGTGGTTATCTATCATTATGAAGAATTGTGCTGTGACTATTTAATAAGATTGTGTTGCATTATTTAATGAAGACACACAACACACACGGGGGGTCGTGATTATGTTAATGAAGATTGGTGTGATTTTTAATGAGAAGATGTGTGTCTGATTATTTTCAATAAACGATTGTGTGAGATTATTTAATGAAGAGAGTGTGCTAGAGTGATCTCTATTTATATTAATGAAGTAATTGCTATGTAGTCATATTTAATGAAGATTGCTGTAGTAGATTACTTTAAGCAATGTATTTGCAGAGTTTGCCTAGCCAGTCCCTGAATTTTTGGGTCCACCTCCTTGGGTTTTCAAAACCAAAAAATCATCTTCCAGAAATCAGTTATGCGCGGTTATCTTTTTTGAAAAGAACATATTATAGTCCATAATATTTTTCATTCACGTAAATTTGAAGTAATTTTTTATTAAAAGTGGGAGAAATTGTGAGGTTAATAAAAAACATTTTAATCTTACAAAAACTGATATCAAGCCATACTACGAGAGATTAAGTCTCTAAATTCTTGAATCCAAGAAATATACTTTTACTAGGAGTAGGAGGCACAAGCCTGAAAACGAGAGTACCTGGGATTTTGGAGCATACTGAGAAGAGTTACAATATAAAAAGAGAATGAAAATTGCAAAAAAAACAGTAAAAGAAATTACTGAAGTATATCCCAGACAGAGAATAACAGTGAAGTTCCATCCATCGTCGACGAGAAAACATAAACCTGCCCAGGGCTATGAGTGAAGGTGATTAGCATAACAAAGAAGGTACAATACTGTGACTAGCATGCTACAAGTGACAGGTCAGTGACTTGTAAATATGGTTCAAGTCGGACGAAACGTGCATCATAATCTTCTGTCTCCAATGTGCGGGATTTTGTGTAGTGCAAGATGGTGAGAAAGGAGGGGCGGGGGGGGGGGGGGATGTCAAGGAGGTGAAGGGCGCGCGTTTGAAAGGCGCGGAGAAAACATGAGAAGTTTTATGTGTAGTATCATTCAGATAAGAGAGAAAAAAAAGTGTTGTAATAAGTTGAAAGTGGTAAATGGCGGCAAAAAGTAAGTGGAGGACTCAAGCGGAGTGATTTGGCACAAAGTAAGGACAATATGAGTGCAATTAGTAGCTTAGGAATGTATATGTAACGTTTATCGAGGAAGTAGACAAAAAACGTTTTGCTGACCGCGGGTCTAGTCATATGATGTCAGTACGTATTCTACTTGGAGTTGTCACACAAATGAGCTTTTTTGTGTCTCATTTAGTGCTAAGAGGATAGTCATAGATAACTGCAATTAGTGGGCATGTTTGCAAACGTCCTCTTGTAAAAGAAGTGAAATGGCGTGGAAAGGAAAACGAGCAGTGAGGACTGGACAGCCATACTGGAGAGTTAATCGCTGGTGAATGCATGAGAGACAATTGCTAGTTCATGGGTTATGGTTATCCAGTGGGATTCATTTGAAAGAAGAGATAGATCGCACTGAGAACTAGACATAAGGGAAGAGATAGTTTCTTACAGTTTTAAAAAGAGGTATATACACTAGAAGAAGTAATCTGTTAGTTTATGCTCAAAGAGAAATCAGGTTCGAGAGCGACGACGCTAGCTGTATATGAATTAAGATACATAGTCTTTGATTATTGCACGAAAAGAAGGCAGGAAACGTGCCTGTATATGGTTGCGATCTGAAATCCACATACTATGCTTATGAATACATCTAACAAAGAATAAGAGTCAATGCAATTAATAAATCCGGGTGAAACTGTTGAAACAGTTTTGCGATCTTCAAGCTAGAACAGTTGATTAGGAGATATACCTATATACAGCTGAAACCCCAGCGATATAACGATATTTTTAATCATGTCCAGAAGTTATGAGTTACAAATGTGCTCAGTCGCTAGTGACCGCGTCTCATTATATAGCGTTCCCATAAGGAATATTGAGATGAAGTAGATTAGTCCATTTCTCGACCCCAAAGCTACACGTACAAACGGCACTTACATAAATACACTACATAACTGGACGGCATTTGGGAGGTGATCGTTAAGCGGGAAAGCGGGGGTCCACTTAATATATATATAAATATAATATAAATATATATAATACCAATCTCTATAAAATACATAAGGCACCGGGAGAGAGACAATTCAGCATGACGCTGTAGGCGAAATATAGCACCAAAAATATCTGTATCTTCAAATCTCTGTCCGAAGGCAGACTCGAAACAGCTTGGAAAAAAAAACAAGGTACACTAGTGCTTTAGCCATCTCATCTCATTGGATAATACTTTGGGCCCCTAGCACGACGCTTAGATTGAGTCGGTTGATCAAGGCCAGCCACAGATATGATAGAAGAGCCTGGCTGCCATCTGGATCTAACGTCTAAGCGATGAGTGTACTAGGGGACCAAAGTATTGTCCAATGGAGGTGAGAACATGGTAAAGCACTGTGTACCTTGGTTCAACACAGGTTTCGAACCAAGATCGCTCCTCGACAGAGACGAGCTGATTGTTGTTGTATATTTCGCCCTGCTCATGCGAATTCTGCCGATAATCTACTACTTAGAGAGAATGGCGAGAGAGTAATATAGTAGTATATATACATGATATTACCTTGATATACATACTACACTAGAAATAGGATTAGGTGATGAATATATACTTATATGCGTATCTAGTGCAATAAGATTCACAGTAACTATACAGGTGATTTCAGAAAGCTGCGAAACGAATCGCACTAAGCAAAGATACAAGACCACTTCACAGGCGCTCTTGCGTGACTAACTGTCATCATTATCTAAGGACGAGAACTCACAGAAGTTGCAATCAGCATCCAAGAAGCTAATAATTGTATGCTGGCCTGGGGTTATTCATGGGTCTGGCCGGCACCTCGGTCACTATCAGATCCCACAGACGGTTATTACACAACACCCTCACGTGCCCGCGCTCGGTGACCCGCTGCACTTGGATCTTGGCGTCCTTGAACCACACTCACCTCACACAACTTATTCTACCCAAGAAATAAGAAATTTTTAAAGATTATTTGTCGCCAGTCTGGTCACATAAATTTGCTTTGGCGCACTATTCTAATTAATTATAATGGATTCTAATGATTCATATAAACCAAAGGACAAGTGCTTTAGCTAATTATTGATACAAAACAAGAAAATAATCTGTGTAAAGTAATAATGGTCGGAACTACCCCTGTAGAGACTTATACAGTATAATCAAAAACCGTAATTAACACAGAAACAGCAAACAATCAAGGCCCTCCCCAAGAGCCATCAACAACATAACTTTTTTAACTTACACTCTCAGCTCTGTTAAAACCTTTTTCAGGGTCCAAGGCCCAAAAACAGCAGTCAACACACGATGCAGTGTCCACCATTAAAGAGGCACAAACACAAAAATAATAAACCTAACTGCTCCCTACCCCGCGTCTGCAAAAAGGATTGCCTGTACAACCCCCCCCACGGAACTAGAACCCCCCCCCACTCGCACTGCACAACCAAACCATCGCACCCTGTGCTCCGCCCGTAAAGACTCCCAATCCATATTATGCGGCCCCGGCAGCCTCCCAACCCCCACCTCGACAACACAACAAAATGAATAAAACTAATAAAATAAAACAACATACCAAAACCCACACGAAAGATAAAAACCTCGGACAAAAAACACACCACCACAACCCCTAAGGGGCCGGAGCCGCCCCCACCAAGACTACTCCAAATCACACACACTACACACCTCATACAAGAGCACCCCACCCTTTCCCACCACGAAAATAACGCCACAACTCAAAAGAAAACCGGTCTCCCAAAACTCGCCGCCCAGAAGTAAAACAACCCCAACCCCCATCCCCCCAACAATGACACCGACCACGGACATGAACACTCCACCACACAAAAACCCCCACAAAACCCCACCCATTCCCATTAAAACTTTCGCCAGCATGAGCAAGATTCCCGGACCAAGCCCCCCGGCCCCTGAGCTACAGCCCCTCACAGCGCCCCAACCATTCCTCCCCCATGCTCTACCGCGTGATCTTTTCGACTTGTTGCCGTCGTTTTGTTTTGTGCACGATACCAATGCCAATCTTATACTCGTTCGAGCAAATTTCTTTTTGAGTATCCGCTTCATACAACCAGGCCCCACACACCCCCAACACGGCGAGTGCTCGCACCCGGCCGGCAATGGTACACCAGAGATCAGCCAACGAGGCACCCAGAATACATGCCCTGATAAATAAGCCCATACCCATTAACCAACATCTAAATACCATCCCGGTCCTCCCGTTCCTCCCCCACCCAACGCCCCATCGCCTTAGGACAGTAAACCCCCGACAAACAAAATTACCCCACATCACAGCCAACCCTCCATGCCCAGACCCAGCGGGATCGACACGGGGCTGACATGGTGTGCCGCCCCCCGCCTAAAGCCCAGACCCGCCATACCCCTGCAATGGGCGCTCCCCCCTACCCCCCCCCCCCATCAGCCATGACCCCCAAGACCCCCCCGCGCGACTTATAAAGAGACACGCACCCACCCACTGACCCATGTGAAAACCGCCAGCTCCTATAACCAAAACCCATTATAAGTGGCCACTTCACGCCCAATGTACCCATACTAATGCCATAAACCTACAGGAGCCTGGTTTGACAACCACCAAGTGACATCGACCGTTTGCCAGCCAGCACCATCACGAAAGCCAAGCTGTCCTTGGCTTTAAACCCCGCTGACACCACATTACATCACCCACGCCCCCCAGCGTAGCGCCTGGGCAAATGTATTACGATACGAACGCACTGGTGCACACACATCTGTCTTGTTCACGGTATGGCTACCCACGACGCGCCAGAAAACCCAGCGACCAAGAGGGCAAGAGACCCCGACACGGAAACTCATGACAGCCCCAAAGAGAAGGAGGAACAGTAAGGGGGGCAGCTAGAGAGCCCCCGAACCGGTGCCCTCCCTGAAACACACTCCGCCCATCCATGATCAACGCCCCAACCCCCATCATGGGGTGAACTCGATATGCACAGTAATAAACCTACCCGCCGTGAATTAGGTGTACACCAAACCCACAGCCCCCCCGGCCACTGTCCGCAAACACCGAGACCCCCCCCCATTTCATTAATCTACCAAAAGGAGCGGTTCCACATTTGCTCGGTATAGATACTGCTTGGACTGGCACAGTCTAAACCTTTGCCACCCTCAACGCCATCTAGGCCCTCGACCAATCCCGTAACGCTACGAATGCCCAGGAGTGCACCCCGACTCTTGGAACCAGCCCAAAATAAAGAGGCACTCCCATCCCCGCCAAACTAACACTTGACAATACCCTGTCCCAACTGTCTGTCAAGCAGGGGCCTGGTTTATTAGTTCCGCGCGAGTGTCCAACCCCTCGAGTACGTAACCGTCAGGCTCCCCCAGAACTCCCGGGATAGTTCAACAATACCCCCTTGCCGGCTGGGCTACCTCCCATACCGCCGCACAGAGGCCGCCGACGCGGAGCTTTAACACAACTCTCTCGCGATGCTGCACCGCCAACAAGAAGCAGGCCCCTGCCCCATCAACCCAAACATGCCCCTGCTACGCCAGCAAACCCCCAGATTCGACTGAGCCTGGTTGGTGATAAGCACGAAAATGCCATGGAGTCCAACACTCCTTCATACTTTCCCCTGACAATAATTTCCAAACAATGGCTGTACAACGATTAATACAAAGTGAATTCCATACATTGGCTGGGTTTCCCCACGTGGACAGGTAGGTAGAATTCCACTTTGAGAGAGTCATCAAAGTGGTGAGGGCTAGTGGAAACAAAAATGGGATTTTCTGCCAATCCCAGATAAGCGTGTTTAGCTGGGGATACTGGACATCATAGGCTGGTTGTACGTGAGGTTTGTGGCGGCTGTGGGTGACGCTCCGGCTTTGACCTTGAACTGACGAGATCAGCAGCGTGGGTCCCCGCGTGGCACAGCGAGTCACGCATGGCGGTGCGCACTACCACCACCCGCCCCCACTAACACCATCCACTGATGAGTCTGAGCGCAACCATGCCAAGTGTAGTCCACATCATCCACCTATCACTACTAAAACGGTGTAGGGCCACGGGAAGTACTCCAGGGATGTACTCCGGGATAGTACTCCGGATGAGCTCCCAATCCCCGAGGCACAGCACAGTGTACACTACCCGAGCGCATGAGCTGTCGGGCGAACATACCGATGCTTCACTGGTGAATATGTTTCCGTACTATCACTACTCAAATGACCGTCACGCGCAGATAAAATCACAATCCACGTCAGAATCATCGACATTACTGAAGTCAACCAGGCCACGGGAAAATATTATATTTCCTTCTTACGATTAGGAACACCACCCGACCGGTGAGTCACGAGTGCCCACACAGAGGTAAAGGTCGAGGATTCGTCGGGGGTTTTCCTGCACTATATCGATAGTCCTGGTCATTAATTTTGGTCCAATCTAACTTATCAAAAGCCGTAGAATTCATCTCCATTTCCACTTCCTCAGTGACATAACTACCAGACAAGGAAGAGGAGAGTCCCATTTCCCGGGGAGTGAGAGCTGACTTGCGACGAGGCATGGGTAACAAGGGTTGACTGAGCGGCGTTCCCACAATGCTATGCAGGCGCCTAGATTTTTTGTCTTATGGTCGCACACCCATGGCGCAGACCCAATCCTCTCATATGTAGGCCTATGCGCACTTTCGCGCTAAATTTGACGGGCGCTAGAAAAATTGGCCGTAGATCTATGTTTGGAACAATTCACCGACAGCCGGAATCTACGGGACGGACCCTGAAAGGGTTTAACCAACATTATAGATGACCTCAATAGCATATACTAAATTCCCATGCATGCCAGTATCCCATCATTACTCTCACTGAAACCCTGTCTAAGAGCCCGATATACAGATGTCTAGCATCGCTGGTTTACACAGCCATACACACTGTAAGGCCAGATCAACAAGGAGGGTGGCACAGCAAATAGACTACTCAGACCAACTCGAATGTCTCACTAATACTTGCACAAGGGGTATTACCCTGGGGAAAATATAATAACTAAATTCAATATCAAATACCTACAAAAAACCTCTTCACAGTGATAAAACAACTAAAGAGGTACCACAGTCCAAACATTAGCCATTATAGTGAAAACCTAGGAAGTATGATAACTATGATGCATGCATGAACAAAGATCACTTACTGAATTCCACAACACTATGAGTAACTGCGTTGCTACCCAACGTAACAAAACCTACAGAGTTAACAAGGACTAGTGTTTCCTACTTGACCACATCTGGACCAACACCATATCCCCCTTAAAGAGTCAGGGCAATAATCACAGATAATACCACCAGACCCTCTAACCCTAACCTTACACCATAACAACTTTGCAAATTACCCCAGACACGACTAAAGTCACTTTCCAGACTTCACAATAAAGGCACTATCAATAACTTCATAGCACAGTGACAAACATTGACTGGCACACTGAGCTAGAAATCTATCCAGATATTGACGAATGTAATTTAAAATAATTTTCTAAATAAGAGACCCAATACATCTATAAACAAGCACTGCCCTAAAAAACCTAAACAGATACTGCAAAGAGAACAGAACAGTCCCCTGGGCTAACACCCCATATCCTCAAATCCATAAATAAAAGCACCTAATACGAAAAAACAGTACAGAAATGGGCCGCTCCCCACATAACCAGAGACCAAACAAAACGTACTTGTCAATCCGAACCAGCCTAATAAAATGCTAAAAAAATTGTATTATGAGAAGCAGATTATCCAACTTACGAGGTGATCAAAAAATAGACCTGGAAAACCCTTTCAGAAATACTAGGAACAAAAAAGATAACACGAAATAGCGAAATTGAATTAACAAAACCAGATGAAACCCCCAATTCCCACCAACTGAAACAGCAAACAACTCAATGGATTTCTCTCCACTATAGGATAAAACCGAGCCAATAAAACCCAAGCCAGATAACCCACCAAATGACTACCTCACTGAGCAACTACCAGAACACAAACTGTTCCTAGCTCCGACTAACCCAACTAGACGTCACCCTTATTATCAACAAACTAAAAAACAAGACAGGAGATTTAAATACCTACCACCCAATATATACAAAAAAGTGTCACAGGTGCTATTACCACTCATTGCAACACATCTTTAACAATCCATTGAATTCTCTACCTTTCTTACAGTTTCATAAAATAGCAAGGGTCACCCCTATCCATAAAGGAGGAGAACCACACAGACTTGAATAACGATAGGCCAATATCCAACTTACAACCCTCCTCACAAAAATCTTGAAAAATTAATCCATAAGCGTATCTATTCCTACCCTTCATCTCCCAACAACATACTCAACTAAACTCAACTCCTGTCAATTTGGTTCAGAGCCTAATAAAAAATACTAATGAAGCAATTATCCACATAGCTAGAACATATTTATACAGCAAAAGAAAAAAAAGAAGTCCACTGGGGATCTTCATTGACTTATACGAAAATCCTTTTGTTTTTTTTTTACGATACAGTTGACCATGCCTTGCTCCACATAAAATTGTCGCACTATGGTATAAGAGGGCACTCCCTCAACTATACCTCAAGTCATACCACAGCAAACAGAAGTCATAATATGAGTGCACAAATGGGGCAGAACTCTTCCACACAGCCCAAGTACAGTTGGTGTCCCACAGGAAGTGTCCTAGGCCCTCTCTCTTTCTCATATACCATAAATGAACCAAACCAAATGCCTCGCAACTACCAAACCCACCTACTTTGCAGAGACACTACATACGTTTACTCACACTTCCTCACCCGAGCCCAGTCATGTTAGCCAATACTGTAAAAACTGAATTACAGAAAATAACAACCCTGATGAGGACCAACAGACTTACTCTAAACCTACTACCTTTCAGTTTGGGGGTAACAGAGCTGCATATTGTGTCTCTTAACATAATGATAAATAGATCCCCTATCACAAACTCACAGGGGAAAATTCCTAGGAAACCACCTAGATAATAGACTCAAATTTCATCAAACACATATACAACAACAAATATCCAAAAAAAAATTCCAAGACCGTAAGGCAACTATCGAAGATACGGTACTATGTCCACAGTCAGCCCTCCAGGCCTATATCACTCATTATTACCCCTATCTCACCTATGGAATTTGTGCATGGGGCTGCACCAACAAT